TGTTATATGACATGTTCAACATGTTCAACACATTCGTTATTTTGTCCTAATGATTAGGATGAACACTTGACTTAGACATATTTATAACGGGATCCATCGATGAAAATCAGGATACGCTTTATGGTGGCTCAAAACACATGTCTATGATGTTTTCAGGTTCGTAGAATGAGCTCCGTCATCAGTCATGTTCTTTTGATAAAGTAATATAATTTTACTCAAAGTTTCATAATGCCTTATTGCCTCAGACCATTGTGAATGCATGGTGACCCAGTAGTCTAAGGCGCAGAAAGTACAGAGTTACCTTCTTCAGGTGAGCCAGAATCCGTGCGTTCACAATCACTGACTCAGCGGTGACCTGCCTCCCTCGAGATCTCGCCACACATGATGTAACTGTTCAAAGGGGCGTTAGACAACACTAACACACTAACGTGAATCATCGTGCACAATGAGACTTGATACTCTCACCACTGATCTCAAGTACTGATATACACGTGATGATAAGAGTTATTTTCATCTTCAGTAACCCATGTTTTTGTGGCCACTAACGGCATGAGGTGGTTATGCTCGGTTCATACACGGCATCATATATCACTTGCGTAGATTGGATTGTGGGGCCCAGAGACTAATATCTACAGCCACATGGATATAATGTTGTTGGTAGTGGCAGTCAACAGCAAACAAACAAACAAAACTGCAAACAATTACTTGCATTTCGTACATGCAGAGAAAGCACTAATATACACTAGACGCCAAAAGACACGTTACCCTCCTACCTTTATGAATTACTGAAAAACTATCAAAGATATTTTAAAAAGTTTTAGTTTACAAGAAAGCTTAACAACACAGCTTTATGCAAATCACGAAATAAAAATCTTAAATGCATTCATATTTTGGTGAAATGCATCTTTTTCAGAAGATTTTAATTGTCCTATATTCGTCCATTCCAAAATAAACCAATAATAGTGATTTATAAGTCCAAATGAAAGGTTGAAATAAAATTCTGCTTTGGGACAATGATAAACCTATCATTTAAAGTCACCATTTTTCAACTAGTAAAACAAGAAACAACTGTTGTAGAGTGTTGAATTGAAAACTAATCATTGCTATGATTTCAGTCTTTTAAAACATTTTCTGCTGATTTGCATTAGTGAAAACAAGTGAAACGTGTCTTTGATATTGTGAAAAAATGTTTAGGAACATCTAAATTATCTTTGTTAACATTTTTGCTTGCAAAGAAACATTTTTCCAGTTTCTGTTTACACATAACAATATCAATCGCCGAAATGCAGCAATGTTCAAGCAGTATTTACATCCTTTTCACATGTAGAATGATTCCATTGGGTATAAAGAGAGCTTACAAGACATGATCTGATACACAAGTACGAGAAATATGCCACGATTAACAGCTGCAGGGAGAGAAAGAGCCATTGGGATGGTGCAGATGGGGTCGACATACAATGCTGTTGCCAACGCCCTCGGATGCCACCGTATCACGGTTATAAGACTTATTCAGGGCTTCAGACAGACTGGGGTCACCGTAGACAGACCAAGAAGTGGACGTCCACACATCACAACCTCCCTCATTAAGAAAGGAGGGTAACGTTTCATTTGGCGTTTAGTGTATGTTGAACATCATGAAATTCGTTTCCGGGTCATCGTGACCTGGGTCATTCCCTCTGTCATTAACAAATTCTATACTCTTAACAACTGACGTCAGTGTCTCCACACGTCTACCACCTCCTCAGGTTGTTGTCTTGTTTCTTATGAACAGCTGATGGATCATACTCGGACTGGCGGGATGACTGAGTTTGGTTTTACGCCGCTTTTAGCAATATTCCAGCAACATCACGGCGGGGGACACCAGAAATAGGTCGTACTTGGACACTCGTGAGAATAAGGTACTTCTATCACGTACATTTAACATCAGTGCCAATAAAACACAACTTAAATTGGTATCGTGACAGGACTACGTAAATTAGTTTCAACGATCACCAACGTTGGCATTGTGTGATTCTGTCTTTAGCAGCGTTATTCAGTCGTGATATTTGGCTCCTAATTAAAATCTAAACTTTAAAAATAAAATTTAAACAACTGAATTCACCTGCGTCTTCACTGATCTCAAATTACCGATAACGACCAGTTCTACAAGCAGTCTGCATGTGAAATAGTGACACGTTAGTTAGAGCAGGTTAAAAGCAGTAGCTGTTATTTATTTTCAATTAAAGCCATGAGAAGTGTAAGGTCAAGACAAAGAGTTACCGTGACACTGCGCAAATACACAATGAAGTTGTAGCCTAAAGTAAGCTTGCGATACCCTAAACGTGATATTCCCCTTAATGACCTAAGGTTGACGACTTGCATGTAGTTCGTCCATAAAATGCTACGATCCATGAAACAAGTGGAGGAATTGTGTCGGTTTCTATCAAGCGGCCAACATGGGTCTTGAGGGTTGTATTTAGGTGCGTAAATGCAGACACAACATACGGAAAATTTCTTCATATTTGGATAAAATACCTTTGAGAACGACCGTTATTATCACAGAATAAGCAATTTAAGCAAAATGGAAAGCCAGAATGAAAGTTTCACCACCTTTTAGCGTTGGCACAGCCGTATTGTCTATCATGTCCTCGAACTCTGTGTGACAATTCCACCTCTCTGTGCACAGCTAGAATCTCATCTGTACTGCTCCGTATTCTAACAACTTTTCGCAGACTTTTATAATCATGTATAGTTTTTGGTCTAGTGTCTGCCACTATCATTGTCCGATCAGCCGCAGAGCCGCGGCGGTCAAACCTCTCTACCTGTTTAAGGAGCTGTCTCAACGTACTGGTTCACGTACTGGTTGACGTTATTACCCCGTCCCCTTACGGCGAGTTACGTACAGTAAGGGCAGACAACTGACACAAAGGTCAGGTCGCATCTAGTCAGTTATACTTCAAGAAAGATGAATTGTTCTTCAGGCGAAGATTGATACTCGTTAACCTTATTGTTACTGTTCTAATCAGGTATATAATCCGTTGGAGTTGTCTAAAACTAAAAATTAGTTCCATGATGCGAATACAGGTACTAGTTTCAAAAAGTTCGGGTCACATGACTGAGTGATTGTCGGTTTCATTGACAGCATCGTCAGCATCCTTCCTTGGATCAAGACACGGGGTGATGATGGAACGCTTTTTTTGCTCATACCGTAGTTTACATCGATTAAAAATGAGATGACATGATATGTGTTTTTTAAGGTTTAAAGGTGTATTTGTTGAAGTTCGTCGACTGATGAAGATAGTGCCGCACCTGAGCAATTTCCAAAATGTAGTTCTTTGACTCTCCCCTTGATTGACAACTTAGTCACGTGTTGTAAGGGGGTGGGTGTGGGGGTGTGGTGTGGTGTTAGGATTTTTTGGTAGGCCATTTTGTTTTGATGACGTCACATATGTGTGACCTTTGTGTGAACTAATCGACTTAAGCCCCACCCTCCATTGGGAGTTCCTTTCCGGCCCAGGTGTGTGTGTGTGTGTGTGTGTGTGTGTGTGTGTGTGTGTGTGTGTGTGTGTGTGTGTGTGTGTGTGTGTGTGTGTGTGTGTGTGTGTGTGTGACCTTCAGGTTCACCTTAGTCGGCTGTGATTATTATTCAATTATTTTATGAGTGGTATGAGTTTGCCGACTCGAATGTTCACACAGCAAAATCTTTTTTCAACGTAGAATTAATGTCACACTATGCATATGAGGGGGAATTAGCTGCTATTTATCTGGTCAAAAGCTGTGAAAATATCAGCGCGCATTTTGTTAAATCAAAGGTATTCCAATATATTGTGTTCATGTTACAGAGGTGAAAGGTAGATTGAATCAAGTCTGTTAGTAACCGCGTATGGTCAGTTAAACCAAAGGTTGATAGTGTGAGCACCAATCAGTGCTGTGGTTAAACGCCGTCGACTTAGTCGCAAGGATAGCATGCATGTGCATGAGCTATTTGGAAACCAATATTGAACGATGTTTACGGAATGGAATTGATGTCACATGGTTCAAACATTATACTTATGGCGGTGTTATAGGTGGTGCGGAAGAGTGGCAGATTTGTTCGAAAATTTAACACCACATCACAATCACTCTCGCTTTGTGCATAAACTAAAAGGAAGACAAAAGGAATGATTTCAACTTTTCAGTAGTCGACTTCCCTTTTATGTCGAGCAATATTCCAGCAGCTCCAGCCTTTGGTGTTTACATTTCACGACTTTTGAGGTACTATCGAGAGTGCTCTTTTTATCAGGACTTCAAAGAGCCTCATGCCACTCTTGCTCAGAAGTTGTTTTATCAAGATTACAACATTCAAGACCTCAGTAAAGCTTTAAAGAAGTTTTATGGTAGACATGTGGAGGAAATTTCCATATTTGATGCACCAGTGACAAAATATGCAATTCCCTGTTTTGACTTACCATATGTTCCCGAATTATTTCAGGTGAACAATTGACTAGACTTAGCATATGTTTATGACGCATGCCACCGGTGGGGCAGGATATGCTCACCTTTTCGCGAACACCTGGTATCATCACTATTTCATAGTGATTCAATTCATAAACACATGCTCTGTCATCGTATCGCAAGGTGACAATCACTGGATTGTCTGATCCTGACTCGATTTTTTTACAAACAACATCGCACAGCTGTAATACTGTTGAAAGAAATATATACTCATGATATAGTCACAAGTGTGCAATCAACTCTGCTTTTAGCAGAGATTTCTTATGGGTGAGGAAACAGTTTTGTGGCTTCTATTTAATAAAACCTGTATGTGTGAAACCGTGAGCGGAACGCAAAAGGCAGCCTTCGCCATCAACGGTTCATGGTTCGATAACTGAAACATTTCCCACATTGCAAGGTAAAGCTGTAGAGTAGAATATATATGAAGACAAATATGAGTGAGAGTGGGTATTCGGTACTTCAGGGCTCTAGGACCAGGTTACAAATTATATTCAACATTATATTTTCGACATAACATCTAAGAATAATACCTCATAATACATATTTATTGCATTAGATTTTACAGATTGTATTAATTTTACAAACACATTCCACTTCAAATAAATGGCATAAACTATCATTTAGCATCATTACAGAAGATATGTTGAATGAATATCTGCCTCAATGGGTATTCAGGAAGTGGACTTGTATTTCGTGTTTTCTTGCCTTTGTTTAGTACATGCGTTCGGAGATCTGAAACAAAAGAAACACTGCAATCAAAATGTGAATTTAGCATCTCGTGTGTCAAAACATCAAACGTTTCAGAAGAAATATGCCCGTATACATTCTGAAAATATTCATCAATGTCAACCTGGCTAACCTTTGCTGACTGCTGGGTAAATTGGACAAACTTCCCACAAAACTCAACTTGATATCGGAAAGTCAGAAGCTTGGTCTTTGATAGTTGATAATTCTTACATTCCTTCATGTGTCTACTCCACGACAGAAAGTGTACATTAGTCTTGATGTAAGAGAGGGTGGTCTGGCTGACACAGACACACCCACCCGGCTCACGAAGAGCCAGGTTATAATCGTATCCCAATTGTGCATGGCGATGCTCAGGATGTCAATCACTAGATTGTCTAGTCCAGACTCGGACATTATACACCGCCTTCATGCCGCTTCACATTTGAGGAGTGCGGTGTTAAGAAATAAGCACACACACTGTCCCACTCTTCACGATATTTACATATGATTGATCGAATTGTACCTTAGTAAGAAAAGAATAAGTTCGTAAAGAGTCAGTCAATACCATATAAGATCCATCTCCGAAGTAAGGCTTACTAAACTAAGTTTTACCTCGAACGTAAACGGAACCACAAGACCAACCCAATCAATAGGCCAATAACTAGTGCTCCACCAAAACAATACGCAATAATCAACATATTGTTATCCGGTTGGCACCCATCATCTGAAACAAGAAGAGTACGACACGTTAGGCCTTAGTTGATGTCTACTTACATAAAAATCAAGTCAGATTCGATTATCCTGTGTGTTATATTAACCCGTTCTATGTGGGAGTCTCATAATAAGATACCTCCTCGTGAAATTCTCGTTAGGAAAAACTCCCGATTTATTAGGCTATATTTATCATGATCCAGCATCATGATACAAACTGCTAATATTGATCCAACAGCAGTAGGACCACGATTCTCAAGTGCAAGAACAAAAATATTTAAAAAGAGAATTGTCATGCATTCAAAATGAGTCAATTGGAAATCTTTTCATATTTCAACATTTGAGTATTTGGTGTCATAATTTCATGACAAGACAAAATACATGCCTAAACTTTATGTCCTACAAGAATTTGGAGTTTTGTTTTGTTCCGCAAAAGAATCTGATTCCAATTGTTAAGAAACATATGCTTTTGATTTCTGACCTTTATCTATTTTCTTGGGAAATTAAGGATTTAAACAAATCTGGTGCACATGATGATATTAAATATGCTTAAAAGATTTGGTGTAAGCTGTCCAAGGTTCGCGGTCTCTGGGCAAACAAACCTTTAATATTAATATGAAAAAATAAGACATTGTACCTATATGAATCCAAGTGTGCTGTAATCGTTCGTACTTCTAGACCGTATTGGTTTATGGGTGGTGTTGGGTATGCGGGTTTCATGATCTGATCGTGACCGAGGCCTCAGTTCTGATTCTGGTGAACTAAACACACACACATGCACACAAGCAAACACACACGATAATATATTTTTTCGTCGATGGTTTCCGGGGCAGTTGCAGTACGCATATATCACACTCAGCTCTCAAAAAACTGTTATTATTTTGTCATTACAATGCACTTCCGGCTTACCAAACGCAGTACTTGGTACCCATTGTCCATCTGAGCACACGTGACAGCTGTCACGTGGATGAGGGTGACCAAAGGAAACACAGACGTCACCACTCTTACAGGCCTGGCTCTGAATCAGAACAAGGGATAAAATAACAACTGCATCACATCAGCTGGTCAGCATCAAATTTACCATACGTGACATGATGCAGAAGAACATGGCATATATATATATGTATGTATATATATATATATATATATATATACACAGAATCGGCATATGAAATGCAAACTGGACAGATAAAGTTCACATATTTAGACAAATAGGAGGGATTTAAAGTTCAAAGCTGAAGTAGTAAGGAAGAGTTGAGAATATATTTCATTGCAACGACTGCAGATGTATCAAAATGTCACATTGAAGGAATAAGATTCGTGTACTGAAACATAAATTTAAAGAATACAGAAGTTGAAACCAACCCTCTTTTTCACAGAGTGAAAATGTTAAACAAAAGAATAAAAAATGGTCCTTTCAATCATGATCAGAAACATCTGGAAAAGTCCATTGAACCACTCTGATAACACGTACAGCATACGCATCTGTTTATTATTAATATATCAAACAGTCATGACAGTCCACGCAAAAAAAAGCAATCGGAGCTTGCACTCGTCAAGTAAAAGCATGTAGCGTAAACATATTCACAATCTGTGATATAAATTGATTTCCTATTTCTATGTACAAAATAGAAATTGTAAACGACAATCATCTGACTGGTGACAAACAAAGTGTTCTGACACTGTGCATTTGCCAAGTTAATATTTGAAATATACTCCTAAGTAAACTTTCTGTTACAATCATAGCAAAATATTAACATAATAAGATGACATGTAATAATATGAATAACATGAGTATCACAAAAATAGCTCTTTAGCCACAATCACCAAGAGTGGATCGTCCACACACACTCCAAGAGTAGTTCGCCCAAACACACCATCTGATAATAGGTTGATGCATGTGCTGCATGTGGAATACTTGTGCTGTTGTGTATTTAAGAGAGTGATTGGAGAGGAGTGTTAAACAGATGATATATTTGCTTTAAGTGGATGCATGGGCTATTATGAGCCGTAAGTATGGTTTTTGTATTTATTGAACATTTGTGTTTTGAGTGTAATTTTCACTTTGTGTGGTATATATTTGATATGTGACGAGAGAAGTATTTTATGTTGAGTTAACAAAATATGCAGGTGATTTCAGTTGGTAATGTAATTACGCTGCTGATGGTGATATTGTAGCTATATACGTTCAGAATTTGCAACTTTCATAGAAGTCATATTTCATATTAAAATAGATGCTACACCCAGTATCTATTTTTTCGAGTGTTGATGTTGAACATCAGGGGCATGGTAGTTGTTGACAAATGATGCACGTCAAGTATTTGTCTTGTCCTAGCTACGCCTACATGCATGTTCGTGTGTGGAACGTCGTCAGCTGTGTGGAACGTCGTCAACTGTGTGGAATGTCGTCAGCTGTGATGTCATGGTGATGTCACAGGGTCGGCAGTGTAAGCAAACGACTTTGGTAAAGTTGTTACATTGACTGCGTGAAGTAACTCATAGTCTTGTGTTGGTTATTCTTCATGCCACGTTATGGTGGATACTCAAGCCCACGTTATGGTGGATACTCAAGCCCACGTTATGGTGGATACTCAAGCCCACGTTATGGTGGATAGTCATGCCCACGTTATGGTGGATACTCAAGCCCACGTTATGGTGGATACTCAAGCCCACGTTATGGTGGATACTCAAGCCCACGTTATGGTGGATAGTCATGCCCACGTTATGGTGGATAGTCATGCCCACGTTATGGTGGATACTCAAGCTCACGTTATGGTGGTGCATTAGTGCTGTAGACGCACACTAACATTAACTTTTCATTCAAGTGTATGACTTGTATTAGACATTCATGTTAAAATGATGAATGAACTTTCATTCAAGTGTATGACTTGTATTTCTCATGGTATGATGAGACAATCGTATCCAAGCCTGGGTTATGGTGGGGCAGTAGTGCTATAACGTGAACTTCTTTCAAGTGTTTGACTTATACTAGTATATCTGTTTAGAAACATTTATTTGATGTATTTATTGTATGTTTGGTACATGTGAATGCTTCAGTGAATAGTGTTTGCATGTGTGGATTGTTTGCACATGTATTTAGGTTGGTGAGTTGTTGTTGGGAGCATTGAGATTGATTACATGAAGTAGTTTTGTTCATAATAAACTTTGTTTATTTTGTTTACAATTTCGTGTTTTTGTTCGGGGTCGGACAAGCGCATGACAATGAGAAACATCTTGCAGAATTACTATGATATAATGCAGATACAAACATACAGCATCATCAAGTCATTATACATTTACAACCTGGAAAGTGCATCAGCACAAACATTGTCTTTGCCTTTAATGTGTCTAATCACAAGATCGAACCCTTGCAAGGTCAAACTTCATTTTATAAAGAAAAAAAGGGATTGTGATCAGTAAACACTTCAATTGGCAAAGTAGAGGTACCTAGGTACACTTCAAAATGCTGCAAAGCTAGCAAAAGACATAATGTCTCTTTCTCAATGGTAGAATAATTTCTTTGATGCTTGTCAAACTTCTTTGAAAAATAACAAACTGGGTGATCAAGTCGTGAATCATCCTCTTGAATCACGACAGCACCTGCACCTACATCACTTGCATCAATTTGTAACTTAAATGGTTTCTCAAAATTTGGTGCCTGCAATACTGGAGAATTCAGAAGTATGGCTTTGACTTTTTCAAATGCAGTCTGACAACTGCCATCCCACTAGAATCTTACCTTTTTCCCCAAAAGGTTGGTAAGTGGTGATACAACATCTGAGAAATTTTGGCAAAACTTTCCATAATAGCCTGCCATACCCAAGAATATCATGAGTTCTCTCTTAGACTAGAACATGTACACTTGCTTCAACCTTAGCATGAACTGGCTGTACCTGGCTGTGCCCTACATTCACACTTTGCAAGATCCACAGTCAATTTTGCTTCAGACAGTCTTTCGAAGAAAGTGAGAGTTCTTTTCAGATGGTCTTCCGACTCCATGTCGTAATTGATGACATCATCCATGTAAGCTTCGACACTATCAAGACCAGAAGTGACACTGTTGACGAGTCTCTTTGTACTGATACAATCTATCTGGTGTAGCGAATGCCGATCGTCTGTGAGTGGAATCTGCCAGAAGCCCTTCAATAAATCAAACTTACAAACATATCTAGCTTGACCAATGCGATCAATGCAATGGTCCACTCTCGGTATTGGATACGAATCAGTTCGTGAGAGTGCATTGACAGCTCTTATGTCAGCACAGCAGCGCCAACCACCTCCACCACTCTTCGGCACAAGAACACATGGTGAACTCCACGGACTGTCACTGGGTTCAATAATGTCATTGTCCAGCATGTATTTCACTTCTATCCGCAGAATCTCACGTTTCACTGGATTCATACGATATGGATGTTGTGTTACAGACACAACATCACCTACATCTATACCATGGCTAACAACAATAGTTCGACCAGGCACATCAAGAAATAAATGAGAGAACTCATGAATCAAATCTGACATTTGAACTTTCTGCTCAGGGGATAAATGTGATAGTTTCTCATCAAGGCGAGCTAACACATCAGAATTTCTTAACTTTGGTGAAGCATTATCACTAAGGTCATCAAACTTCACATTGCTAACACCATCATCAATATTGTCAACATGTTCACCATTGTCGTTAGTACAATCAGTAACTGGGGAGAGTGTTGCAATACAATTGACCTGTTTGGTTTCTAACCTGTCATGGTATTTCTTAATCATGTTTACATGACACAATCTCTTTTGTTTATGACGGCCAGGCGTCAGGACAACTATTCTGCGTCGTTCACCATTTTGTCAACAACATATGGACCTAGCTCTCAGTGGTTGACAAGGAATGGGAAGTAAGACTAACACTTTCTCACATGGATGAAATTTCTCTCTGTTGACTTTCTGTCATAGTTTAACTCAACATCCTCACCCTGCGCACTAATAAATTGCTCTCTAACAAGAGTGTGATCACCACCCGACAAACTATCCGATCTTATAAAGAAGACCTGAAGAGTTACTAGTCTTGGAAGATAAGTCGGCACCCTCTACCTCATAAAAAGAATGATCCATGAAAGTATCTGACAAATCAAATGGTATCATTCGGCAAAGAAGTTTTGGAAAAAATGCCTTTCGACATTGAAAGAGTCACTGCGCAAGAAGAAAAAATACCCTGAAATTCATCCTCCAACTTTTCCGTACTAACTGAACTCTCCGGCGAAACAATGACAATGGGATCAGCACTAACTTTGGCTCCCATAAGATTATTACCGATCAACAAATCGACACCCGGAACTGGGAGAGAGTCAACACCAACTTTCGCCTTACCAGAAATCAGATCTGAAGACAAATTCACAAAGTGGAGAGGAGCAGAAGAATTGCCACCTATACCCTGAAGCAAAACATCTGTGTTCGCTGAAGACTCATCAGAAAAAGGCAAAATATCCTTCAAAATCAGAGATTGAAGAGCTCCAGTATCCCTCAAGATAATACTGGGCCGTGTGGTAGAATTATCTCCCATAAGCGACACAGAACCCTTAGAAACAAAGGGCAAAACCTCCTTCCGAACTACAGAATCTGGGGACTTACTCTCACAAATAAAAAATTCCACAGAACCACCTGGAAAGAAAGGCTTAGGTGCGATAGACACAAAAGCATTTGGGGAACCAGCAGCCTGATTTTTAAACTGGAGTTTGTAACATGCAGAAATCAGATGACCTGGCTTCTTGCAATATGCACAAACAAGATCAGAACCACTGGAAGTATTTGGCTTAGATTGAAAAGAATGTGACTGCTTGTCACAAGAATTTGAACCTGTTCTAACACCACTGTAACATGCATGTCCTAAAGTCTTACCCGGGGAAAAACCTTTTTGGCCAGAAATCTTGGTATGACCCGGAGACCTAAAAGAAGTGTGTGATGTGAAATTGGGTTTTACGTCGTGCTTGAGAATATTTCGCTCATATGACGACGTGCATGCGTGTGTATGTGTATGTGCGGCTGCTTGTACTAGCCCAGACTTTGTTTTACAGTGCTAGCTCACTGAGATACCATGCCGCAGTGAAGCATTGATAACCCACTCAGACACATTATACTGACTCCGAGCCGACCAGTCCTTGTCGTACCCATAAATGCCGAGCACCAGGCAGGGACCAACAAGTACCATATTTTAACGTCTTTTGGTATGACGCGGTCGGGGAGCGAACCCGCGACCTTCCGCTCTCCAAGTGAACGCTCTAACCACTACACCACGGAGGCGGTCAAACCTAAAAGAACTCTTGCCAAACAATAATCATCTGCCAACATCGCTGCCTCATGTAAGTCATCAACCTTATGTTCATCCAAGTAGGTCTTGAAAAGTTTCCTTTTCTCTAGCAAACTCTACATAAGTCTTATTGTCCCTTTTATGAGCATTTCTGAACTTCTGACGATAGGCCTCAGGCACTAACACATAAGCTTTTAAAAGTGTCTTTTTGACAAGATCATAGTCTGAGCTTTGCTGTATCGACAAGGCTGAGTAAGCATCCTGAGCGTTAACCTTCAAAACAGTTTGCAGTAGCATAGTCCATGACTCTCTAGGCCACTTGAGGTTTTCAGCAACTTTTTCAAAATCTAGAAAATATTTGTCAACATCTTTCTCATTAAAAGGGGGTACCAGTCTAGCATGCCTTGCAATGTCAAAAGAGGAAGAATTTGATGGAAGAGAAGACTTTTCTAGCCATTTCAGTTCAATTTCTCTGTCAATTTCCAATTTTCTAAATTCTCTTTCTCTTTCTATTTCTTTCTCCATTTCAACCTTTTTCATTTCCCTTTCATCTTTTTCCTTTACTATATTCTATTTCTTCTTTCTAAATTTGCAATTGAATTTGAGTTTCTTAATCTCAAAATTTCTGAAGTTTCTTCTTTCACCATTTCCAAAACCTCATGTCCAAAAACTTTCTTATCAATAAAGTGATTCAACACAATTTTCCAAATCTGAAATTTCCTCATAGCATGTTTGGCCTTAAGTTTGAAATGTGAAGAAATTTGCAATAAATCTGATTTGTGCAATCCACTGACTGTCTCAGGGGTAGGGGATTAAAAAACTGAGTGCTTCTTCGGTTTGATGTACCTCAGTAATGTTGATACTGAAAATAGAGTGGTACTCGTTTTTATGTTCTGCTCCTGAAAGGAGCACTACCAGCAATTTCAGTTGTAGTCAAACTTGTTGCCATGGAAACTCAAAAATTATTGAACGGTTCAGAAATATTGAACGGTTTTTATGTTCTGCTCCGGAAAAGACAAATTTGCACGGACGGACGGACGGACGCACGGATGCAGGGACAGACGGACGGAGTCCAAACACACACACATACACACACACACACACACAACGCAAATGCGTTGCGGAGATAATAAAAGGGGATGAGATACTTCGACAAGTAGTGGGTATCCCCATGGGCACCAGTTGTGCTTTCCGTTTATAGTTATCTGTTTCTTTTAGCATTGGTTTGGATGTTGTTTAACGCCGCATTCAGCAACATCCCAGCTATATGGCGGCGGTCTGTAATTAATCAAGTCTACCAGACAATCCAGTGATCAACAGCATGAGCATCGATCTACGCAAATGGTATGCCATGACAACGGTGAAAGGGTTTCCAAAGTTGTAAAAACGCAATCTCAGTAATTTTCCTTGTAAATGGAATATGTTTTTACACAAAATAATTATGATCTGATATTGCGGTAATCGTCGGATAGCTAATTCATTTTCACTTATGTAACTACCTGCCCTAGATATTCAGAGTACATTTTACGCATATGGAAAGGGATGTTATTTACCACAAATCTGCACGTGACAACGTTGTTAGCAACGTCACACTCCTGACATGATGAGTTGAAGATGACGACGGCACTTTCATCACTGTATGCTTTTCCATCATTGGAGACTGACACTAGGTAACCACGGGCAACGGTGTTGGAAGCGCTCATTACAAGAGGTGCTGCAGGCAGGGAGCAGACGCCTTCAGCAATGCTTTCCACTTCCAGTGCCTGGGGTAACGCTTCACCATAAGTTACACTATTGTTGTAGTCTATCTGTCAACAGCCAATGTATAACGTATATATTCCGTATAGATTCACGCCTTGAAATGTGTCCAGCGTCCAGCGTCCAGCGTCCAGTGTGCAGATCCAGATGGATACTAGGCGCTATATAAATGAATTATTATCATTAAATGAAAACGAACCTACACTAAACAGTAATAGTGAAATTAGTGCTATCAGAATTGTTATTCAAACATTTCTGTGTATATAATAGTGAATGACTCTAAATTTGAAGGAATGAATGTGCTTTTGTAGACAATTGCCGCAATAAGCAACAGATCTATTTTGAGGTTCGACCTATATATATTTATATATACACACACACGCACGAACGCACGCACGCACGCACGAACGCACGCACGCACACATACATACATAATGAGACACAACATACTCAAAGGATCTAGTGCGACAATTGCTGAAACCGTTCTGCACGATATGCTCTGTCAGCATGTGGCTGACGTTGCAGGTGCGGGTGGTGACATCACAGACGCCATCCTCTTTCAGCCCAAATGTTTTCGGCGGTTCGGTGATATCTACAGAGCAATCCGACGCTCCATATCCAGCCTCACACTGACATTCACCTGGTTGAGAAACATTCTCAAAGTCAATTAATAGACGAGAAGACAAGCTACAAATGCTATGTACAAATATTCTGCATACCGTTCCAGAAATATGACAAAAACATGAACAATACCCTAAAAATGAGGTGACTTTAGAAAGAAGTAAAGATTTTCCCCTCTGAACACCAATGATGACAGGCATGATTCGCACTTGACAGTAAAAAGTTACGTTATAATGGAGCCATGTTGGTGTGTGCGAGAGGGTTCATTGTTATTGAACTCAACTGACTTACGGCCTGAATTAAATTGGAGTGGGAGTTAGCGAATACAATTGTAAGTATTAATCTCGATTTCCTAGTTTACCAAATACATCCTTCAAATAAAGAAACGAATAGGTGATTCTGAGAAAATTTGACCTATGTAGCTGCGGGAAAAACGATATAAATATACAATCTTTCAGCGCCAAAACGCGGCAATTTCAACTTTTCCCTTTGCTTTAGAAGCATTTGCAGAAATATTCGCCAAAACGTCACCAAGAAAACATTCAAAGCAAAATGCACGTGTGTAAGTAAGCGAAAAAGCATGCGGTATCGATTACTCTATAAAGACAAACGTGTTTAATTTCGTCATTCGTTTGCATGAAAAAGAGGAAATTGTCATGCCACGACCGAGGCCGCCAGTCAAAACATCGCTATAGACGGCGTTGAATCTGGGAAAGTCGCAGTCTGCAGTTGCCCGACATTTCAACGTTCATCAGAGCACCATATCTCGCCTTTTGGATCGTTTCCTGCAGACCATTTCCGCCCACGATCGCCCGAGAATCGACCGTCCAAGAGTCACCACCTAAGCCCAAGACCGCTCCATTCGGGCTGCTCGCTTGCATCATCGTCTTACCACAGCCGTGGAGAAGAATTTCCAACCAAACTGTCAGGAATCGATTGCGTGATGTGGGAATTCGACCAAGAAGGCCAGTTGTCGCCCCTGTTTTGATAACCTTCCATACGCGTAATCGCTCGCGGTGGTGTCGTAGAGTCTGGAACTGGAACCTTAGGAACTAGACGCGAGTTTGGTTCAGAGATGAATCACGATTTTTTCTTCACCGGCGAGATAGAAGACGTTTTGCCCCTAATTGCATTCAATAGGTCGACAGATTCGACGGCGGAAATGTCATTGTGTGGAGTGAACTATCCAACACACAACGATCTGATTTAGTGGTGATTCACGGAAAATTTGACAACAAATCGTTACATCAACCTTGCACGTCACATGCTTCCGATTATGGACCGACAGAGGGAGTTGTTTCTGCAGGACAACGCTACTTCACAAACAGCACGCCTCACGGTCCGCCACTTTGCCAGTTCTAACGTCAAAATCTTGCTATGGCCTTCCCGAACAGGATATTTAAACCCGATAGAACACCTATGGGGTAAACTCGACCGATGTGTACGTTAACATCAAAACACGCTCAGGCACATCCACACCTGGCCATCACATTGCAGGAACAGTGGGGAAGAATTCCACAAGAGTAACTTTGTCGACTTATCAAGTCTGTGCCGAGACGGTGCCGAGCAGTAATTGCTGCCAATGATGGCCATACAAAGTACTGACTTTGACGCTATCTTGTGGACTCAAGTAAACAGTAACACAGCAATAAAATGCTGCACTGTTGTGTTGGCAAACTCGTTGTCTACAGACGTGTGAACTTTCACCTTTTTACCGTTGAAAGTACATGAAATGATTGCTCTTAAACTAACGCAACAAATTCTTCTGAAATGGCTCATCCGTTTCATTCTTTTTGAAGAGTGTATATGTAACATCAAGTAAATCCTTTGATACATCGCGGACGATGACCAAACTCACGACCTTAGTTAATGTTTTATCGACTAGACCACAGAAAATGACTTTGATCTGGCTCCTATAGCAGTACCATTCCTGCAAGCTATGCATGACTTTAATGGTCGACCCTCTTTACTGCAAGACGACAACGCTAGGCCTCATAGGTCACGGAGCTCCTTAGGCAGCGGGGTGTAGAGCTCGCCAGACCTCAACCCAATTGAGCATGCCTGGGGTGAACTCACGTCATACAACACCAGTGAATCTCTCAGGACTTCGCAGAGCTCTAGTAGATGAATGGAATGAACTTGATAACAAGGTATGAGTATGAGAACAAGGTGCACCTGTGTCTTGGACGCGCGAGGAGGGTACACACGATATTGAATGACCGATCTCGCGAGTGCTTCATGTTTGTCACTTTCATTTTGGGGTGTTGGCGTATACAACTGAAGTTTGCTAGTACTGTTTGAACGTTTGTAAACACATTATACATTATCATGACACTCTTCGTTCTTTTATTCCTGAGAAACCTTTCTTTACATGTGCTATATATCATTTGACCCTTTTTGAATGACGCCTAGTATGTTCTTTGAAAGTTTCATTTGCTTCAACGTTTCCCCAAATTATTGATACAATGATGACAAATCAGTGATCATAGCCATGTCAGAGTTTCGCCCATCAGCACATTCGCATCATGGAGAAATGCCATCAGTTCTAAGCAATATGCAACGTGACGAGAATTGTTGCAAAGTTTAAGACATGGTCTTCCTTTTTCAGTAACAATATCCAATATATGGATATATTGGTTCTCATGCTACAACACAAAATGACTCATCCAGAAAAGTCTTACCTTTTTACACATGTTCCTCTGTGACTACATTCGTTAACGCAGGAGACCTTCTGAAACTGCTCCCACTGACTCGCTGTGGTTCCACTGGCTGCAGGAGCTTTAGCAGCAGCTGTGGCGTTCATCATCACCTTCCTCCCACATTGTTCCGTCGCTGTCGCCACCGCCATGTCCGAGAAGGTGGTGTCGCCCATCAACTGTAGTACAAATATTGGGTGATTGATTGAGCGAGTTTAGTGTAAGGCCGCTTTTAGCGATATCCCAGCAATATCACGGCGTGGGCACCAGAAATGGCCTTCACACATTGTACCCATGTTGGGAATCCAACCCAGGTCTTCTGGATGACAAGCGAACGCAATGCTTTGGTTTTGAACAAAAGGACATTCTTGGTAAATACGACTTGTAAGTAACTTTTCGAATAAAAGCGACAAAAGGGTGTTAAAAAATGTGAAAACAAAACTGACTGTGTGTACGTACTAAGTTTCAGATCTCCAGTAGATCACTGATCCACAACTTGAGGACAAATGATTTTTTTCTGTCATTTTCCTGATTTGTATTACAAAATCATTGCTTTTTCGCAATAAAACCTCATGTTTTGCCAACCTGAATGGAATCTAAACTGCTTTGGATTATGTAGTGATTCTATAGTATGACCAGAAATTATTGAGGATTTTAGGAATATGTTTAATTGGATTTCTAGTATAAACATCATTGACCGGCTATCAAGTGCTTGGTTTCATTCAAGAGAGACAAATCCGTTAATCCTTTTTCATTAGTTTTGTGAAGAGTTATCACCCTTTGTTTACTTGCTAGCAGACGACATTTTCAGTGATCTTCAGTATGGATGATTTAGAGAAGAGGAAGTTGATTTTAGAATAATATAACAAGGACATCAGATCAGCTAAAGTGATTTCAAGTTTTTCTTTTGTCAACTGTTTATCGTGTTTTGAAAAATATTGCAAATGGATATGGCATTGAGCACCAGGGAGGCGCAGGTCGGACCAAAAAATTGACTGTCGGTGACAGGAGGCGGCTTGGTATTCTTGTTTCTAAAAACAAACGAAGGAATTTAGAAAACTTAAGGCCGGATATGATTGATAGAGGAACTGTGACTGTCTGTAAGGAGACAATTAGAACTGAGCTGCATGCATTGGGTTGGCAGAAAAGTCGAGGAATTCCATCACCGATCATGAAACCTGAACAAAAGGAGCGAAGGTTGAACTGGTGCTTACAGCATAGAAATTTTAACTGGGACAATGTGATTTTCGCAGATGAAAGTTCTGTGTGGCTGTTTCCTAATACACTGAAATTCTGGACCAAACAAACTAAAAAACCTTTGTATCAGCGCTCAAAGTACAGTCCGAAATTTAACGTGTGGGGTGGCATATCTGTGTTAGGGGCAACGCCCCTCTGTGTATTTGAAGGGAATATAAACAGTGAGCGGTACACAGATATTCTCGAGGGACATTAACTTCCATCTGCTCACGTGTTCTATGGAAATGTTTGGATTTCCCAGCAGGACAACGACCCAAGACATCGTTCAAAGCATTCACAGGCCTGGTTTCGGACCCAATATGACATTATTAGATTGGCCAAGCTATAGCCCTGACCTAAATCCAATAGAAAATGTTTGGGGACTTATGAAGGAAAGTGTCAATAAGAAAAATCTGACAAATATTGCTAAAATGAAAGAAGAGGTGGTCCGATATTGGCACAGCATGTACCACGACTTTCTAACTTCTTTGATCAGTAGTATGCCCCGTCGCATTGAAGCCTGCATTGCTGCCCATGGTGACTTGACAAAATACTAACTGTTCACCTGTCTTTGAATCTGGAGTTATGTTCTGCTAATATTCACACTTAATACGTGAGTAATGAGTGAAAAAACTTTGAAAATTTACAATCTTAAATTCTCAATAATTTCTGGTTGTACTGTATTAACCACGAATGATGCCTTTTTGAATAAACACAACGCACCTAATTACAATGTCTCTCGGAAAACCATATTAATCATTTCTTGGAAAGATGAGGGATTTAATGACTGAACCACAAATGACAGACTGAGTGTATACTTCTCTAACCTGTATATCCAGAATGCAGTCCTCTTTACTCCGCTCTATGCTTTGCTTTCATCAATGTTTTGACACAGGTTGACAGATGCTGATTTGTTAAAGAGTTCTTCACAGTAGGCACCAGCTGACTCTTCTGCTCATCCAGTCCATCCGTTGATAAGAAATTGTCAAGCATATCAATATTGTCCATCGTTCACACTCCGTTGACTGACAATATACTCACACAATGTTAAAGTAATTGGTCACATATCAATATTGTCCATCCGTTCAACCACTCCGTTGACTGACAATATACTCACACAATGTTAAGTAATTATCACATATCAATATTGTCCATCCGTTCATCCACTGTTGACTGACAATATACTCACACAATGTTAAGTAATTATCACATATCAATATTGTCCATCCGTTCATCCGCTCCGTTGACTGACAATATGGTCGCACAATGTTAAAGTAATGCTCACATATCAATGTTAACCCATCCGTTCATCCGCCTGTTAACTGACAATATATGCTCGCACAATGTTAGTAATTATCGCATATCAATATTGTCCAACTGTTCGTCCACCTGTTAACTGACAATATATAATACTCACAATGTTGAAGTAATTATCATATCAATATTATTGTCCATCCTCGTTCATCCACCCCAAGTTGACTGACAATATACTCACACAATGTTAAGTAATTATCACATATCAATATTGTCCATCCGTTCATCCGCTCCGTTAACTGACAATATACTTCACAATGTTAAGTAATTATCACATATCAATATTGTCCATCCGTTCATCCACTCCGTTAACTGACAATATATCTACACAATGTTAAGTAATTATCACATATCAATATTGTCCATCCGTTCATCCACTCCGTTGACTGACAATATACTCACACAATGTTAAGTAATTATCACATATCAATAATTGTCCATCCGTTCATCCGCCCGTTGACTGACAATATACCACACAATGTTAAGTAATTATCACATATCAATATTGTCCATCCGTTCATCCACTCCGTTAACTGACAATATACTCACACAATGTTAAGTAATTATCACATATCAATATTGTCCATCCGTTCATCCACTCCGTTGACTGACAATATACTCACACAATGTTAAGTAAT